GTATATCTCTCCCTAGATTCCATTTTTTTTTTTTTTTAATCGTGATTATAAAAATATAATTTTGTATAAATATCTGCAATGTAGAGACATAGAAACAAATTGCAGAAACAAATTAAACCAAGTACGTCGTGAATGGTCTAAAAGTCGATGTAAATTTCAAGTTAAAACAAACATGAAAAGATATTGAGAACGTTGACGCCTCGGCTATTGCGAGTTTTGAGTACGCAAACAGAACTTGAATATTTAACAAGAGGAAAACATTTGGATTTATTGAATTCTTTATGAAAATCATCGAAAGAAACACTTTGATTTCATTCTACTGATACAGGATAATGCTTGAAGTACTTCGTGATAACTAAAGAATGTAGCTGATAAAAGCCATCTCAAACCATCAGAAATAATAGAGGTCTTTTCAAAGAGCAATATAAAAATGGTAGAAGAGGGCACCGCAATAAGATTAACGACGCAAAAAGGGACAATAAACTCATAATTTGCAAAGGACGGAAAAAGGAAAAAATTAGACGGTGAGCAAAATTAAACGACCGCGATTAAACGATCAATTGGTCTTAACGAAATACACATGCACACATAGATAGGCGGTGGGTCCGGAAAGCGCTGAGAAAACGTCAGGCAATCGACGTAGTGGGGTGCGGCACATGAATTTATCGCGGAGTAAAAAGTGTGAACACATTGTTGGAAAGGCGCCAGGTAACGCCACCATCCCCGAATCGCCGGCGAATCGAATACCATGCTCCATTCTGACCGGCCATAAATTCCTTTTTTTCTAATTCTGTTCTTCGCACAAAGCAGGTTTACGACCAGACGTGACGCGTTCACCGTGTCACGGAAAGTTTCGCTCGACTTTTTCGCAGCTAATTGCAGGCTAGCGATTTCTTGACCATCTGTGGGACACGTAGTACGACGTATACGTCTTTCTTATCGATAACCAACCGGCCATAAATCATTATCAGACCGATAATTCTACTTTTTCTTTCTGGTAATCAAGGAGAACTTGGGAGGTAATTCCAGATGACTATTTTTTCGAGCAGTTATTACCTATCGTATGTTATATCGTTACTTCGCGAATAGCGATAGACTATTCGAGAAAAGAAAGATGATCGGAGAACGCTCCAGCGAACGATAAACTATGGTGGATTGATTCCATTCTTTTCGAACTACAGCGAAAATACGCTCACCAACTCGCAACAATCGATCCTTCGCGCGAAATGCTCGCGGTCCAAAACTTGAACATTTTCTGACGTTCCCAGGAACGATTATAATTTTCAGTAGCCATCGTGGCTGTAGCAACCACATCTTGGACAGTTGCAGAATTTCGCAGTTTGGAGATTCCCTCAGGACTCTCCGATACACGGTCTTTCAAATACTGAGCGTAATTCCCTTAGAATCGGGGATTATTTCTCTCGATTCCGTAAACATTGATCCATCTTAATCGGCACGCCTGACCAAATCTTCGTCAACGTTTGCTATCAAGAATCCCTTGATGATGCACGGAAAGCTGTTTTAGAGAATCATGACGATCGGATTCTGTCCTTTGATCGATCGTGTTTGACGACTGGGCTGGTTCTCGCGGGCGTCGAGAAGATGTTTTAAATAGCCGGTTACTGCCAAGTTTCTGCACTCTCACTGCCAACGACAGAGATAAACGAAGCCTTAATGCAACGTCATCGACTACCGACAGGAAACTCGGATATACTTGATGGGAGTGATGTGGCAAGGTTGATACAATTGGTCGATTGTTAAAGATTCTTCAATCTTCGTTTAGCACAATGAGTAATTAGTTCTTAGATGTACTTAGGGCTTACAAGAAGCAACTGTTCTTCCTTCGCAGAATTTCCAACTTATTTTTTAAAAGTTCTGATTTTATTATGACTCGACGGTTGAAGTTCACTGCCGACGATTATAGACGTTGGTTTCAACACAATTGATGCAGAGTGCAAAATGTGCGCGTAGGGAATAATAGTTCTAGTTACAGCTACAGCGACTACACAAAGTATCGTTACATACTCTTACTTTCTAACGAAAGGCTTTTTTATGGAGTTCTACGTTTCATTTTTGAAGTGTCAGATTTTTTGAAATCATACAATAGTACTATCGAATGATACAAAATTTAAGAAACGCAATTGATGAGGATTTTTCAGTATTTCGCGTTTTATTTTTAAATCTTACTGTATCACTTCCACCAAATATACGTTTCTCTCCGGTCGCTCGAATTTTCGAGCAGAGTCGAACAAAATTTTTTTCGGGTTTATGCCACAGACATCTGGATAAAAGGATAACGGAACGGCGGGTATGAAGGGAAATGGCCGAACGCTCCTTTTCTCGACGACCGTGCACCGTCGAGCCGGAAAATTCGGTGAGCTCGGATTAATCCGGCCAACGAGGATTAGCGGCTAGATCCCTTAGATCACAGGGTTAGCTCGCCACCTAACTGTCTTTCTCGTACCGCCGCTTTAATAACGGTATTTTGTAAAGCAGACTCAATGTATCTGAAGCTGTGAACCTATCTGCAATCTTACATTCCGGGCGCAACCCCTGCAGGCTCCAGCTCGATTTTTCCGCAGTATTTTACACTCTACCCACGCGAAACTTGCAATTTTCTGAATATGACGCGCGAGAGACAATAAACAGCTCACGTTGGAAAATTCGCTTATTTTTCCGACGTTTATCAACATTGACTGAGAAAGTTATATCGTCGTTCATGAAACGGATGATTAACATTCCCTTGAACGCTTCCCCTTTTTTATAGTCGCTGTAAGTAGAATTTATCGTATTTATTGTACGATTTTCAAATTTTGAGTCTCAAACTCTTAATCCATTGAGAACCAAGCACACGCAAAAAATAGTTCGCAATGTTATAAATATTTCAATTTCTCTAAACTTCATAAAAGAAATATTTCGATAGTTAAAATACTATAAAATATATATCGATGAAAATTTACAAACGAGATTTTGCATTAACGCTTAATCCGTAAAAGAAAACAAGATTGGAGCATAAAGATTCGAGATCCATAGTAGGATTAATTTAAACACTTACGACAAAATCGATATTTCTACCTTTTATAGCGACCGCTCTTCTATTTTCCTCCATTAATTGCCGAAAAATAAATTGTTTTGTCAAAGTTGGAGACCTCAACTCGACGAAGTGCTAAAAATCACGACCCCACAATAAAGGAAAGATAATTCCGGGAACTGTTAAGGGGTGTGTTCTGTAACTGTACACACACGCATCCTCCGGAAAGGAACATTCAAATCGTCGCATTGAAAAGCCCAATAGAAGCGAAGAAACAGGAGGACGCGTCGACTGGTGCATCATTATCTTTCGTCGTTTGCCTCGAGGTTGTTTAGCCTCTTCGCTTTTCGCAGTACTTTTGCCACTTATAACCCCCGTTCAGCAGCACCACCTTCTTTTTTTCCTACTAGAGTCACCCTTGCTCTTTCTCCTACGCGTGTTGTCCGCCTCCCTCGGTGTGTTATTTACCCCTTCCCGTGGCTGACGCCCACCGTTCCACGCCACCCCTTGGCCCCCGCGCCCTTTTCCGGCCGCGCGCACAGCTTAGGGATTGTTTTAATACCCCGATGGGGCAGAACTGTGTGACCTACTTCCACCACGGTGAATATAGACGCGACCTAAGCCACGTTTTCAGAAGTCGGTTAGAGGTACATTCACGTTGCTGGCCCGAACAAACTAGCCGTGTTTCTTTCGTCCGTCGACTACATTACCGAAAATCCTATTAACGATAATTTTCTCTTAGGGAGAAACGAGTTTCGATGGTATCTTTCATCTGCTCGTTGAATGGCTGGCTTTATCGAAACTCGTTCAGATTAGTCGAGTTATCAATTTAGTGAATTATCAATTTAGTTGTCTTAGTTATATCACATGACTGTATTTAGTTCACTTTAAACAACCATTGTTTCCTGTTTAATTCGCTGTAAATAGATCCATCTATCAATAAATTTATCGTATAGGGTAGAAATCATTGGAAATCCTAATTTCTAATATTTCTGAATAAATAATCCTATAATAGTGTATATCCTTTATCCTATAATAGTATATAAGCCCTTTAAGTATCGAACCCTTCCTTTTTTTAACATCCTGTATGTGTGAAATGTTAATTATGATGTTAACGTCATAACTGATGTAGACGAGGTACACCAACGATACAGAGTCGAGTTTTGGCTTAGGCAACCAGTATCAGATAAAGCTGGAAGTAAGAGTATTATCATAGACATAATTATTACCTAATCAACTGCTGTTTTGAGATTCGTAAATAACCGCAACATTTTGGTTGCTTACAGAGAGGTTAATACCGACCTGTAAGAGATATCGACGCGTAAACGAGGTTGTAATCTTACAGAGGCAAAGGTAAGAAAAATAGCATCGTCGAGGGAAGTTAATTTCCGCCAGACGCCAATATCCCGGTGAATATGCTACATTGTCGGAAGTTTCGAACGTTCGCTGAATGATTTTCCTTCCGCGTTCCTGTAAGGAATGAACCTCATCCGCTAAGCCGATGAATACCTTAAGGGACGAAACTTTCTCGAAGTTTTGACAGTTTCGAAGAATTGAAGGAGCTGAATTCGCGTACGCGATTAACCCCTTTATGGTCATACACGTATATAGCAAAAATAAATAACGTTTCCACCGCAGCTAAGTTGGTACAGTAAATTCAAGGTCATACCCTAACGTTAGCATTCGCGCGTTAAAAATATAAGATGTAGCGATATAATCACAAAAGTATATGTATCATTTGTATATAGTCGAAAAACAATTACGCTGAGGAGGATAGTGCATCTTTAACCGATTAGATTGAGAAAAATCGTACGTTGAGGAATTAAGACTATCGTTTTCTTCCCACCATTTATCCCGTGCTACATCTCCAATTTTATTTAACGTTGAACCATGCATACAGCACTATTTCGTTCTTTTGTCTCTCATCGCACAATGATTACACGAAAGCGGAGTAATATCGTCTTCTTTCTTTTAATACTCGAGTATCTCCCTGCGGCTCTCGTGACGAGAGCTCTAGAGGAAAGGTACGCTCTGCAAAATCTGTAACGCGAATAGGAATGAGTTCGTCTCTGTTAAACGAAGAAATTCTGAACAAATGAAAATGTATCTACCTCTGGGTGATGTCCTACGTAACATTTGATCATCTTGTAAGCCTTGTCGCAAGGATCGTCACTCTCTGAAAGTAGGTAGTTCGATGTTAGAATCGTAATAATTGCGCACGAATGATCATGACCCGGTAGAGCAAATTACCGTCTCCTATTTTGAACAAAACTTTAGAATTCTCAGCGATCGTGTATATGAATCATGTTTAGTGGAACGCTGTTAACCTAATAATCCTAAGAACTTAATATCCATCTACATAGCACAATTTACATGGAGAACGAAAACGCGTGAAATACTCACGAACAGATTTACACTTGTTAAACAATTTCTTAGACGAGTCTTGCATGCTTCGTGGCAGATGTCGAAGCGCCCTTTGCACATCTACCTCCGCGTTCTTATCTAAGATACCGTGCCTCATCATGAAGCACTTGAGGTAGCACTTTAAGTTTTGATCTTCCTGTTCCAAGTCTCCGGCTTTCATCCGTCTTAATGCGGCTGAAACGTTCAAAGAAATATAGTAATACTTCATTACCGAAGCCTTTGGCTTCATAATTACAGATGCTATATAGCATACCCCATGAAACCTTCGATTCCTTGCGACAGTCCTTCCTAATATCTGCCTTACCAAGATGCTAAAAAAGGACAGAAATAATTGACTGAAATTTTTGACAAAATTTGTATCATTGAATCTTCCTTTCTTAAAGTACAATCGCTTACCAACAAAATTAGGATCGTCGATAGAACGAGAAAGAAACGACAATTTCTTAACATGTTTCTTCTAATGCTCTTGATTCGCAAGGAACGATTTAAAACCACTTCGAACACCAACGCCTCAACTGGAACTTTATCAGCCCGATAGCCAGTTGTTACTCGACCATTCGTATAAACGTCAAGATTTACGTAGATCAAAATTATGTCGGGCAATTAATCAATAAATGGAACTCAAAGCAATCCGATAATCAATGGCAAACGTATCAATGAGTCTTACTAGCGCTCCATGCTAAAACAGATGTCAACTTGTCAGATTTACTTGTCCGTCCATCGTCGACATAATCGATCAGACATAGCAAATCGAGCCACGATAATTCAACTAAGGAAACGTTCGAGCAATGCATTAATCATAAGTTGTCTAAGGGTCAATCGGGATGCGCTAAGTATCGGAAATGACGCGTGTCATACTAGAAAGATTCTAACATCAAGAAAAATCCGAAGATTTCCCTTTCCTTTTTTTCTTTCTGCCAAAAAGTCGGGAAAAGAAGAATTGAACGACAGCAAGTTTTTTTCCAAGAAAACTTCCAATCCCATGAATATTTCGGTATTCTGTCTGTCGCGACGCCGATCAATTCGTCTCGGGAACAAAAAGCTCACGAACTTTTTCCTGGCGACCGGCGTTGAGATACGTTTTCGATCAACCTAGATATTCCAAACGACCGGGAATATTCTATTCCCTGGAGCATCCCGTTTCTGGTTCCTTTCGTTAAGAATTTCTTACCTTTTCCCTCACTTCGGAAACTGGCGAATCATCGTCAATTTCTTGACGATTGATCTTGTCCTGCCAGATGTTCTATAAATATTATGCTCTGCCTGTTGAAAGATAGCAGCAATATTTAACCTTGCGACAATTTATCTTAAGTGGACACGTCACGTACTGAACAGTACCGAGCAAGTGTCGGAGAGAACCTCGAATACGACACGATTACATATTGAAACTTACAATTAGTCTACTATAACGTATTTACGCTTACTATTGCACGAATAGTTAGCTATTGTTCTCTTCGTCTCTATATAAAGTTGTATTTTGTCCAACATCTAAATTAGAGAAATGTTGCGTGCATAATTTCTCGTTTCTATTACGCTAAAATTGTTGCTAATTATTTAGAAAGCTGCCGTCATCTTGGATTTCGATGATTCTACTAATATGGTGTAGAAGTCAACATTTCGTTCAAAGTTTTTCTCTGCATGTTACAACCTCACGCCTAATCCAATCCTATATAAACTATGAACAAAAGATAAAAATTATCTCCGGGTTAGGTACTATTTTATCCAGCCACCGTGAGACAGCCGGCAACCCATTATGCTAACGCATACGCTGTCACGGACACACAATAATAGGTAGAATAATGTATTCTACAATGTTATAGTGTTACTGACAGTCTTTTACAAATACCTCGCAAACTAAGAGCATACAACAATATATAGCATATATGTAACTCGCATACAGCATTATGCAGACAGAAATACATAGTGCCATTTAAAAAGATCAAGGTATCCTTGGCTTGTCATCGAAGCAGAATCTTTTTTGAAATTCGTAATATTGCAATTTATAGTCGACTGCAAGCCGATTAACTTTTGATTGTGTATTGACCAGTGAGGACTGATTTTTAGACCACCCTGTATGTGTAAATCGTCAGATTTCTTTCAAATTTTGTCAGTATAATCACGATAGTTGTATTTCATCCTAATGCTAATGAAATTCCAAAATTTTATATAGCATTGTGGCGGCACTCGACGACTTCGCGACACAAGCATAATGTCATCAAAGTGTATGGCCGACATGCCTAATGTCCAATCGATATCCCTACGGTCCTTCCGCCGAATATTCGTAAGAATGCGTACGCGGCAACGGTCGCAGACGTCTAACAAACGCGTGCATAGTGGGAATATCGAGAAGTAACAAAAGAAAAGAATCTGTTCAAAGATTCATTCGGTTTTGAACAGCAACAGAAGTGCAAAGGGTCAAGTGTAACAGCGAAGCAAACATAGCAAACATCGAAAAGCGAGGATTGTTGATTGTTGGTAGGTGACTGTCGATTGTTAAATAAATTATATTGTTGAACATCGAGAATATTTCTTGGGCACCTTACATCTAACACCACGTCAGCATACATAAAAAGTTTCTTATAGTGTTCGTATACTTTCGTCAACCATCCTATTTCTAGTAGACTATCCAAGAGTTAAAAAGAAAAAGTTGATCGTTCGAACTTATCGGAATATGAACTGTGCCAATCGTTCTTATGGAATGATCAAATTACAGCAACCGTTGTGCAAACTTATTGCGTCAATTATATCTTTCTCTTCGAATGAATAGGGATCGAAATGGAAAAACTCTGTGAACCATTATCGTTAAAACAAAAAAGACAAACGTACAAGTTGAGAAGTACGACATTGTTTCTTTGATTCACGTATTTTTCCAGTATCCAGATATTAGTCATCGATGATATCTTATACAGGGATTCCCTGGCGGTAAAGTTTGCTTCGGCGCGTACTTAAACCGTCGTGAGAGGTCACGACGTTTAAAATACGAAGAGAATTACGATTCGCGACTTCTACTCCACTGAAGAAGCTTTGAAATTGTAGAAAATTGAAAATAATCACGTGATGGGCAAGAAAACAGGAAGAAAATTACCATTGATGACGAAAACAACGGTGAACATCTTTTTCTGTGGTTTTGCATGCCGCGCGTGTGCTATTTTGTATCTAATAGCTATGGTTTTATTTATAGGAGCAGGAAAAGATACTTCCAAGGTGGGTTAAAGTTTTCGTATGGCAAAACTACCTTCTGATAAAAATACGTGAGTATCTCGAATTTACCATTTTATCGCATTCGTAATGTTCATTATTATTCGAAGATATGAATGAATTGGTATTATAGTAACACAATTAAGATGATACATGTTCTGAATGGCAAATATACTATATATGTGCTATTCTTTGCACGCGTAATTGTTATGTATGTAGGTTATAAAAATGTGAAAAGAAAAAAGAAACGGATTTTCTATGTTTCCGTGATAATCGTGCAATGCTATTTTTAGTCATTCTCGTAACATAAAAACAGGATGTCATATCCATCATATACATCTTATGTAAACATTCATGTGTCTGTCTACGTTACACCTTAAACTTTTCATGCATCGTTAGGCTGACTTTAGCGCAAGAGTTCCGTCGACTCGCTTTTGAATCGACTCTGCGCGCGAGTTTTCTTTGTCGTGTGCGTACTGCTCTGCGCAATAAACAAGCTGCGCTACTTTGAACAAGAGGTGTGTTGTTATATCGGACTGATTAAAATCCGCATCCACGATTGCCCGCTTTCTTTTTCTTGTGTCCGTATATCATTTTCTTAAAAAATTTGCGATGCAAATACGCGCGATAAATTAGGTTATGTCGAGACTAGCAAAAAAACAGCAGTGGCGCTGCGGACATATCGTGACACGAGTATAATTAAAATCAATGTAACGTACAGTGCTTCAAGACAAGATTCTTTTCCAGTGCGTTTTCCAACGCATTTGTTGGACAAGAAATGTCGAACGGATTAACGGTGTTGCATAATGACAAAGACTCTAACGAAACAAGTATGAAATTCAAACATTGATCTTTTATTCATCCATCGCGTACACAATTTTCATAATCGTATTCTTTTCATTTCCGATCTCCAGACTGCAATGTATCCACAGTCGGTGCTAGCACTGCTGCATCTCCTGCAGAAGGATTGCAGGAGACTCACTTGACAGGGGTGAGTTTCATTTAATTAAGATCATTTTTGGAATAGATACCTGTTCCAAATCCATAGCACTGGCTTGTTGTTGTCCTCTTCACAGATGGAGCAGCCAAATATCTCAAGATCAATCTTGAAGAGACCTGCCGAATCAGAACCTGAAGGTCAGTGGCTGGTTGCACGATCTTATATCACGCTATTGAGCAGCACTTAGTTGTTACGCATGTGCATATTAAAGATGATTTGATAGAAACAAGCAGAACATGGATCATCTTATAAGTCTTTCAGGTTCAAGTTCTTTTGAGCAAAGGAAAGCCAGCTAGAATACACCAAGTAAATTAATCTGTTTCTATTATTTTTGTCAGGTACGACCAGTCCAAAGAAGCGTCACAAGAATCCACAGCCCAAAAATGCGGTGTGTGCCCTGAATGAATTGAAAACTGGTGCGGTATACAAGGTAGTTGACCAAACTGGTCCTACACATGCTCCAATATTTACGATAGCAGTACAAATAGATGGACAAACTTACGAGGGCAAAGGACGTACCAAGAAAATGGCAAAACATGCTGCTGCTGAGCTAGCTCTTAGAAATATCATACAGTTTAGAAATACACCAGAAGTTCATCAAGCAATTAACACTTGTCAACCTTCTATTCCTCTTGAACCAGATTTTACAAGTGATGTTACGGAACGTGATAATCACTTAGTAAATGCTTTCAAAACTTTGACCCAAGAACCAAAGAGCACAAATAAATTTTTAGAGAAAGGGCCTGTAGCGCTTATTAATGAATTATATCCTGGTGTAGTGTATAATTGCGTATCTGACAATGGAGAAAGTTACGCAAAATTTACGATATCGATCACAGTCGATGGAGAAACATTTGAGGGAACTGGACCAAGTAAAAAATTAGCGAAAGCTGCAGCTAGTAAAGCAGCGCTAGCTAAATTAAGGAACGTTCATAGTTCTTCGTTCTGTATACCTCTTCCAGTTCGTGTATTGCCAAACTTTTCCAGTAGCGGACATTGGCAAGATCAAATGACGTTACCTCAAATGTTAGCTGATAAAATTGGCAAGATGGTAAACCAAAAATTTAGCGAATTAATTCAATCAAAGCCGCAACATGCTCGTCGTAAAGTTTTAGCCGGCATTGTTCAAACTAAAGGATCGGATGCAGAATTAATATGCGTAACAACTGGTGAGAAATAACTTTTTTATATAATTTCTTGTATAAAAACTGAAAATGTATACAAAGAGATTATATTATTTTCTTTTTTCTTTTTACATAAAAGGTACCAAATGTGTTTCTGGGGAGCACCTTAGTGTTAGTGGTGGTGCTTTGAATGATTGCCATGCAGAAGTAGTTGCAAGAAGATGTTTGTGCGAATATTTGTATAAACAATTGGAGCTTCATACAGAGGATCGTGGTGCGGAATCTATCTTAGAACCGGCAAAAAAGGGTTTCAAACTAAGACAAGGAATTCAATTTCATTTATATATAAACACTGCTCCTTGTGGAGATGCCAGAATTTTTTCACCTCACGAAGAAAATGAGTCTGTCGACAAACATCCAAATCGAAGAGCAAGAGGTCAGTTGCGAACCAAAATAGAATCTGGAGAAGGTACCATTCCTGTAAAGAGCTGCGAAGGTATCCAAACATGGGACGGTGTACTTATGGTATGATGTATTCTATGTCGAATACGATCAAGTAAATACTCTTCATTTCCGTGCAGACTTTAGTGCAAATATTTATTTCAACTTATAGGGCCAAAGACTGCTGACGATGTCGTGTTCGGACAAAATAGCTCGGTGGAACGTACTTGGTGTGCAAGGTGCACTTCTAAGCCACTTCATCGAGCCAATTTACTTCCACAGCATCGTTCTTGGCAGTCTATTGAACCCAAGCCATATGTACAGAGCGGTCTGCGGACGTATCGAAAACACAATTCAAGGGCTACCACCACCCTATAGACTCAGTAAACCACTAATGAGTCTTATCACATCTTCCGAAGTTAGACAACCTGGAAAAGCACCTAATTACAGCGTTAATTGGACAATTGGTATGTAGAGGAAAGGAGGGTGATTTAAATACTTCATTGTAATTTGTTGTATCTTATAGGTCAACCAGAAGCTGAGGTAATAAACTGTACCACTGGAAAAGACGAATCAGGTAAACCCTCTAGAATATCCAAGCAGGGGCTCTTTAGGAGATTCTACAATTTACTAGGTAAACTTGATACTATAGACGACGCTGATAAAAATCAGTGCCGCCATTACTTGGATGCGAAATCATCCGTACAGAATTACTCGGTAAGTCGAAATAATCTCATTAGACACCGATACAAGAGCTGTGTTCATCATTATTTCGTTTAATTTTCCCCTGCGAACAGCTTGCCAAGCATCAATTGAAGGAAGCTTTCGTAAAGGCACATCTTGGGAGTTGGGTTAAAAAACCGATCGAACAAGATATGTTTGAAGTCGATATCTGACTAAATCAGGGTAATAATAAGATCTCTGCAGATGATACAGTGTTTCGGTTATCAAACTATGTAGTTCCTACTGCAAACTAGACCGCTCGTTCAGCGTGTTATGATATGGCAGAATGTGGCATCAGTAAAGCATAAATCATAGGTTCTCACGCATGTCTGGGACTTTGGGTTGTACGATATGTTCATATACAGAATCGTGTTCAGAATGTGAAGAAAAACGAGCCATTAGTGGCTTATCTAGTCTTCGAGCAGTCGAAGGTTTTACGATTCGATAGTTGCTCAGTTTAGATATAGGGTTATCATAACTTTCGATACTTCGAATCTTAATCTTAATCGTTAGTATGATGTCAATTTCGACAATTTTTATAGACTGTTAGATGAGTAAAAAAATTTTCGTTTCGCAACACAGATCATGTTGAAAAAAGTGAAAAGTTGCGTAGATATTCACAAGTCGATAAATTTCCACGTTTTGACACATATCTAAAAATTAGTTTAATGATTGGAAATTCTTGTACTTATTCTATTTAAAAAATGGAATAAGTAATAACCAACAGGTAGTTATTTGAAAACAATCGTGTAGAGGGAAGGAAAAATCCAAATTGACGAATATTTCGGGATTTTATTCGTGCCTGCAGTATTTACTAGGCTTTAGGAATAACAGTGATATAACATGCATCAAGTTACATCCCTAAAGGCTGTGACTACCGAGTATAGGATCTTCATGCAAATTAAGTACCCTGTTGCAAAGTTTTAACGAAAAATGGCAGGAATCGATTCCTTGTCGGCGTATTCGATTGTTTCGAGTTACAAATAATTATGTTTGTTTAATTATCAAACTAAGTTACATTGCGTTAATATTTTATGATACTCGTCGACAAAGAATCGGCCCTCGACAGTTCGATGTCGTTATTATTGGTTTTCATAGGGAACAAATGGAAGAGGAAATGTGTGAGTAAGAATAATCGACATGAAAGTATGGATGAATTATATGAGTCAGTAGGTGAATGAAGAAATATACATTATGTTATTAACAGTTTTAGAGAATCCTAAGGTCATTGCCTCACTGTGCCAGTATTATACACTTACTGCTATTCTGCCGTAATGACACACTGCCCGGTGTCGGTCCAGTTTTGCGTGAGAAACTCGACAAATGTACAAACTAATATCATTTCAAGTATTACATACTAGTATTAGAAGCAGCCATTACGTCGAAAGTTCTATAGTTGTATATAGTACAACATCGGATGTTGTTAGTTTGATTGTTATCAATTAGACTGTTATCAATTTGATTGTTAACAAGTATTGTTTGTTATGTACTTTCTTTTTTTTCCTGTTGCGATTTTCTTTTCTTTTTTATGCAACAATTCAAAAAATGTGTACATGTTTGTGCCAATAAGAACTGGAAATCAAATGCAATAATGCCAATGATAAGCTAATTTAACCGATGTTTACTATGTTTTCTAAATTTTTCATGAACATTTATTTAATATGAAATAATTCTTTGAGTTGAACTTCTCCAGTGTTATCAACGATTAATTCTTCTTCGCGCTTAAAGTTTCAAACAAACGAATTCTACTATAGCCGCCTTTTTCTGCTTGCTTCTTGCCATTTGCATAATACATATATTACACGTGGATCCAATCTTTACGAACATACATTCAATTTACATATTTACAAGTGTGTATTGAACCTTTTGTGCATAATAACCAAACTAACTTATACAGATACTCGCTTGATCTGGGTCGGCTATGTTGTTCTCCGTATTACGGAATTATTTTACGCATACCAAGTTAAAGAAAAGAAATAATACTGAGAGAAGAAGAGAGAGGAAACGCAGGTGTACACAAAATTCTTATTATTATAAATGGCGAAGAGTCATAAGAGAAATAGATCGCCGGAAATGTGTGATACAAGTGACGAACGTGAAGTCCACGTTGTTTATCGTTCTTTCATATTACACGAAAATCAGTAGTAAGTTTTATGACGAACTAGTTTACATTCATAGGGTAGTGTTTTTATTAAGTAGAGACTAAAGGAGTGCGCATCGGTTTCTCTTGACTTTTCCGTATTTTCCTCGTATCTTTACGAATTGCATCACGTATACAGTTTACATATATACCTATATATGTATAATGATATATTATTATATTACATCACACACGCATATACACACACACAATCACATACCGATTGGTACCTATAGAGAGAAAAAGAAAAAATGAAAAAAAAAGACACTACTTAGTGGTCAATGATCAAAACTCGGAGTGAGCATAATAGTTGTTAATTAATTTACTAGTCCTATCTAGTCAATCATTGATGCAATTTTCGATTCTTCTCCGAATCATACTTGGGGGAACATAGCTTAGTATACCGATGATAATACGAACTCGTAGTCGGCTAGAATTTAAGCTTGACTAGTGCCTCTAGATGTAACTTTGTCCAAAATAAGTAATACCGATATAGGCAAAAGAATATCGAATAAACCTTTATTTACCAATTACTGGGTGTTATCTTGCGATCATTCCCACTAATTCTTACTGTATCTTGAATAAAAAGAAACGAAAACGAACAAAATGTTTGCTTATTACGTCAACTTCATATCGCATACCTGGAATTTCCAACTGATATTGCGTCATTTTATGGAACTTTTATAGAATATTTTGAACAAATGGCTACATAAATATTGGACAGAAAAATTTAGCGAGTGTTCGTAATTAACAAAATATTAATTCATTCATCCGTTTTAAGAAACGCATGATATTCGCCTCTTGCTTTACGCCTTTGAATGCATCCTATTGCTTGCGCAGGTTAAGACCTCAATTGATTTCAATGTGAATAAAATATTATTTATGAATAGCTATAGTGGCTAGAAAAAGTATTTGTACACTTTATTCTTCCAGCGAAGCATTTTCTATTAAGTGCTAAATTTCACTTTTACAATGTCAATTTTTTGCAGTCATATGAAATTACTTAGTATATAGAAATTAATTATATAATTAGCATGTAAATGCCATGATAAATACAAATAACGATGTACAAATACTTTTTGTAGCCACTGTATATGCATGTTACGAATTTATTTTACGTTTGCAAACGGGCAGGTTAGCTTAGTCATGGAAGGAAAGCGTAAAAAAGACACGGTTCTCTTTTGTTGAAACTGTATATTAATTACATCGTTACTATATATTATATCTTTTCTCTGTTAATAATCTATTAATGACGCTGTACCTATCGTACAGCTATCGTTTATCGCGCTTCGCACATGAATCCCTCGACAGGCCTTTCTCAATACGAATACAATGAATTCCTCAGCTCGTCGATGAACAGCTCGAATAGCGAAATGAACCGAATTCTATGTACGTTACTTCAGTCATTTGAACGTGAGAACGTATTTAAAAAAAAAGAAAAAAAACACGAAATGTATGTACGAATTGTGATCGTATGATATAACAGAAGATATGATCTCAGCCCGTTTGTTCGCGATCACGTCGTATTCCTTTATCGCGAATCGTTCTCTCTCGAGAAGTATTAGAAACGAAAGACGTGTTATCGGTCGTTCTACCGACGATACCAAGCGAGACGAAGTAATCACGTGCGAAGCGGCTGTTCCTCGAATGTTACATCGATTTTTCTTCAACTTAATCGCTATATGATATGTATCGAGTTCGCCAAATGTTCCCTGTCATGCACTTTTCCTATGTCCTGCACTTTGGTTACGGTGACTATCACGAGATACGCGTTGGTATGGGTGAAAAGTATGCTCGAGCAAAGTCGCTCAAAAAAGAAAAAGGTAAAAGGTACGTCGAAAGAAGAGGAAAGAGAAGATACGTCGTGTGAAATATTAATAGAAGGTGAAAGTAAAGTTAGAATCCACCGTATGTTTTGTTCGATCGCATGACGTCGGCTACATTATATTACGCAATATGTAGCGATTCCTCAGACGTTCCTTGCTTTCCTGCTACTTTTTATTCCTGCTTTTAGAATTCTTCTCTGACAGAAATTTCTGATCTCTTAATAGGTCTACGTGATAGGAAGACTTGGAGTTAAATGTCATTAAAAAAGTGTTCTGCCCGGTTGGTAACGACACGCAATATTGCTTGTTGCGAATCGTACGATTATTATTAGAGAGCTAGTTGTCGAAGAACGCGAAACAAATAATTGATAACTTCATTTATTTCGAGCACGCCTTTCACCGGATGCCGTGTAACAAATCTAACAGGCTTGACAGCGATTTTTCTTAAATCTACGAAAGCAAACTATAAATGGGACGCCAGAAGCATTCGTTTACGCAATGTCCAACAAAGTATCGTATTCAAATTATTAGAAAATCACATGCATCGGGAGTGTGGCCGACCAATTGCAAGCGCTAGATCTATCCAATCTACTATCATTCGATATTTGTCTTTCGATGATTAATTAGATAAGTGATCTCATTGTGTATCGTGCACGTGTGCATGTTAGTCGCGAGACAATGAGGTTCGATCCACGTTGTTCGCTGTCTTATTACGTCCATCGGACATTCTGATGGAAACTGCGTTTACAACATCAGCTACTACATTATGATTATCCGTTTCGTGCTTACGGGCGCTGTTGGCCTAATTCTATTCGATTTCGGTGGAAGGTGTCCTCGAAAACCGGTGTTCATACAGGGGAACAATGAGAAAACGAAACACCCCTGTGACACGTGTTCATTCTGACGCACACACATACGATTAATAATAATGTAACCGTACCGACTACGTAACAATACTGAGCTAAAAAGCACTCTGATACGTACAACGCTATGCCTTAGTGTTTAAATTTCATTTAAGGTAATGTAGGTACAACATTACGTCTAGCTTGTGCCTCGGGAAACGAGATTCCGCTTGGTTCAGGCTATTCGCACACTTAGCCGAACCAAATCGAACAAAAATACCCCATGAAAAACCCGAGTGAAAAACATTCCGGGGTATGTGCTCTCGGATCGCTTTACCTTCGATTCGAGCGGCTTCGAATCGAGCTTTCACTTCGAACAAGATCGAATTGAGTGCGTTTAAAACGATACATTGTCTGACTGAAACTAAGTAGTAAGAAAATAGCGATGGCTCGAGAACTTCAACGTTGATTCGGGCAAACGTACGACGTTAATAGTTTTATTGAGATTCCCACGATAAAGACCGGGTTACGCTTTCCATCTTTATCACGAATCCGCTTAATTATCTCTCATTATTAACAATATCATACACCTATCGCGGAGAAACGTGGTTTCCAGTTCACATAAGAAAACAGTATTTGAATTAACAACTCGATAGTCTACAGTAATTACAGTACGTGTGAAACATTTTACAGATACAACACGCAACGAGCAACGTTCAGCCTAGAAACGGAAAACAACGGGCGAACGAGAGAAGAGTCAAGGGTCATTCTTTAATATTCACACGCGAAGAGAAGCAGAGAGAAAGAGAGATAATAGTATTTACAATGATATTTAGCGATTCACGACTTTCGTCAAAGAATACTAGATACGCAATAGTGGAGAGAATCGTAACAAAACGAGAGAAGCGAAGGGAGTAATACGATTTTGCACATCAAGATACACGTAATAGTTACATCGAATTGCTTGCATTCGAGGGCGCGGCCGTGACCCGAGTTTCATCGAATTCTCGAATCCGTACGATGAGAAACTCGCAAATCGATTTTCTTCGGCCGATTCTGTTTCAAATCGCGGAAGTCTCGACTGACCGGTTAGAGAAGATGGAATCTTTGAAAATCTCGTTCTCGTCGATTCGTATTTGACAACCGATGAAAATGCACTCGAACGCTACCATGGAATGCAAGTCCTTGTATAGGATATGAGTTTTCGTTGAAGCGACCCCGCAGATCGTGTTGTGCCGTACTACACGTGTCAGGTATATTACGTACATAGATTTCAGTCACGAAAGACATTTGTTTTCTTTGCTGTACATCGTGGCCTTTTATGCATATACACGAGATGATCCGTGTGGTACGTGAAGATCTTGTCTTCACTTGCATCTCAAATTTGTTAAAATAACGTTAAAAGTGGATTCTACGAGACGATCACGTATCACGGGACCAGCACGTTTATATCCTAACAAAATATTTCTATCGGATGGCTTTCTTTCGATTCGCGCTTGGACTTTCGTCTCGTATATTTCGCAGACGTTCCTCTCAACCGATCGAAGCTGCCCTTCGGTGCCCCCAGCGAGCGATCCTCACCTATTACGCATGTTTCTTCGAATATTTTTCGTCGATTACGTTAGCGTTACGAAACTCGTAATCCCAGCAGTGTTCAACGGTAAACAAGAAGATCATAGTGAGCAGGCACTTTTAAATCATCGTTCTATCGATCAGTCTCATGGTCAATTCTTTTTTATCTTTTTGAATGTTGCGCTTTATCCTTTCGATGCTTCTCCAAGCTTGATAATCGAATTGTTAGCATCGGAAAGAATTCTCTCTGTTTATTTGCTCTTTATACCGTGATTAATTTGTTGCAATAGTTTGCATCGACGCTATCAGGCGTTTTTAATGCGAGTATAACGAACGGTGTTGCTCCAAGGAGGCACCAAGGGGTTTTCATCGAACTTTTTTAACCGTGTAAAAATTCCTTCTGCCTAGCACTCCGAAGCTGGTTCTTCGTTTTCGGTTCTCCAGAGAACATGCCGGTTATCGACCAGCGTTCCATGAGCATCCTAATCGCCTCAAGTGGGATCGAACGTCCCGGACTGTTACCATTCGTAGTCGTGCTGATGGAAGGGGTTGGTGCATGGTTGTTGAGCGTGTAGATGGGTCACTATCGGTGGTGGTTTAACCAGGTCGAATTCCCTGCTAATCACCTCATTGTAAAGCTGTGAAACAGAAGAAAACGGAATTTTAGGGATAACCAGCTGGCACGACAACGGTGTTGATGATTGTATAAAAATAAAAGCACGAAAAGAAATAAAGAAAAACGTGTTTTTCGTTCAGAGAGTATAGCCTTGCGTAGAAGTTTTCTCTCTTTTTTTTATCATTTATTTTCCAACAAACGTCTTCTTTGTGGACGTTTTAGTTAGAATGATTTTACTAAACCTGGAAGCTCCTACGGATATACTCGTCCTCGCCATTGCCAGTCATACCGTAATTATATCCACCTCCGCCGCCGCCTCCAGTGTTCAGAAATGGATTCGTCGGGTTTACTGGGCCTGAAAATGTATTTCATCGTGTACACGCTCGAATGAACAATGCAAAAACTTTCTTTAGAAAGGCCCGTAATAATTATTATTAGCGATGAAAAGATCTTCTCTCATCGACTACCGGCAAGCATTTTAATCATTTGATTCATTGGGAGTTTGGTAACATATATACTGGCTATAAAATATATTTACATATATCCTTATTTTCCAATGAAGCGTCTTTTTTACCGTTTCTGCATTTCGTTTTCATAGTATCAAATTTTTGTAGTCATGTGAAAGTGTATATTATTAAGTGATACGAAACTTGATGTGAACCTAATTAATTGATACATAAATTCTGTAATAAATACAATAGCGTGCAAGATAAACTTCTTTAAGGCTCATATTGCAATTATTAATTGAAACGCAGCTAGTAGTATTGAAAGACTAGAATTAAAATCTCTCACCTATTGTGAGATTCTTATTTATTTTGCAAATATAAGAGCCATTATATGTAGTTAATATTGATAAAAAGCTATAAGTAAATCTTTTTACTGAGCTTATCATCTATCTTGCGGATCCTTTCTCTAGGAAGCTTCTCAATTACGAACAGAGAAGCGGAAATCTCACCTCCATTCGCACCTGGCACGTTGAGAGTATCGCCAGATTGGTAAGTGGCGCCGTAGCCCGTGTCTTGATTAGCCAATTCGTGCAGTCGAGTAGAGCTGAGAGCGCGAGGAATGGCGTTGCTAGGTACACCGTGCGGTGCCAGATGTGTCGCTTCGGCTACTTGACGAGGATCCTCCGTCTGTGGCAGCTCGGAGACGAAGCCTGTATCCTTTCTGTAAAAGTTGATGAACACGAACGCGCCAAGAACGACGATGCAGATGAGACCGTAAGCTCGGAATGTCGCAGTTGTTCCTAGGAAATTGTACGAGAAAGAGTCCCATTTAATGTAGGAGAAGTACAAAATGCATATACATGGAAAGATACAACGTACGTAAAAGGATGTGTCTTTGTGAAAGTCTGTGAATGAAAATTCTGAACACGTTGATAGAATTGAAACGCTAGCAGGAATATGACCAGTCTTAAGACGCAAGTCAATCAATTTAGAAAGTTGCGAACGACAGGTAGTAAGTAAAGTTTCATCAATCAGTTTGGACAGGAAAAGTATGTTAGCATTTCTTCGATGTTTAAGAGATTTTGTAATACATCTTGCGCAATAATCTACCAGTCAATGATATTGATGTATTGATATGTTACGAGTCGTAGGTCATAGACATTCGAATAATTAGAATTATCTACTGACTTGTAACTTGAAAACTTTGTTCGTAGAACTTGATTTGTTTCATTAGCAAACTTGTTGCTGTTACGTAAGGGAGTTTATTAATTCTTACAACCTGTAACTCGTGACTTAGAAAATTTCACTAATTAATATTCTCCCAACTTTCTGAGAGAATCCGGATTTGGCAAATCGATGTTGCATAAATGTCGATGAGACACGAATATTTTTTGGTGAATTTAGCCTTGATCGACTTATTTAAGAAACGACGTAGGCAACGTTGGAAAGCTATTAATAACGTAATCTTGTGAATATTCCAAGAATCAATATCGAATTACTTGCATTTCTCGACACGTGGTCAACGTGAATCGATAAGTCATCACGCAACACAGGGTACTAAGAACTCACCGTAAGCGTCGACGAACATGCCACCGATCACAGCTCCGCATCCCCTGCCAAGACCATGATGGATACCTTGAAGAACACCCTGCGCGCTCGTACGCAATTGTGGAGGCGTATTATGAGAGATGTAGCTGCAACACGCGGCCCACACAGCCGCATGGGTTATTCCCTGGATGAATTCGAAAGGCAGCACCCACCATGGAATCGTCAGATAAGAAATATAAAGGAAACGAAACACGTTTCCACCCAGTCCCATGCACAACACCTGAAATTGCGCGTGTGTATTTACTTTAAAAATAAGTTTCGTAATCACTAAGTGGCCTAAAGGTGGTGCACGCAATCCATGTTTATTATTATGAACGTATGTTGCAAATACGATGAAAAATGAAGTTAAACACAAATATTCTACTGTATCCTATGTATTCTATTGTATAAGAAGTTACCTTCTGCATAAATTTACTATGAAGATTATTTTCATGTTATGTCTAACATAGATAGTTCTGTCCTGGCATATGTTATCGCGTTAACATATTCGAGACGGATTTTTCTCAACCACGAACACAAGAATACGATTGGTACAGATCATGATACATCCAGATTTGAAAAAATAGAATAACGTAAAAGTAACTTTTGAAATAGGATACGTAGCTTGTTCTAAAAGTTTTCAGTAGATTCGACAACAGAGAGCGGCACGATAATTCGGCAATCTTCGTAAAAATTAATTTCAAAAGGATCAAATTTAAGGGTTCTTAATGAAAATTAAATGAACGAACTACCTTCACGTGACCGATTTGACGGATCAGTTTAAAGCTGAAGAAGTAAGCGAATATCTCGGAAATGTGATTGATCACAGAGGCGACACCAAATAGAGTCGGTGTGCCATTGTAGTCCTGAAGATGCCAAAAGAGGAAGGTAAAAATCAGCCCGATACCGAATCCCATGAACCACGCGACGAAAAGGAAGGATGCGCACTTGAGGTCTTTGAATTGCTTCAATACGGTCACCCATTCCGGGATCTCTCGCGTCGTTTGAGCGAACATTTTCGTCTGGAACAATACGAAGCTCGTTTAAAATGCATAATAGTCCCACGGGATCGACATCATCAACCCTTTGCGCTCCAGAAGCATGTTAATATCTCTTTCCATCAATCTGGTAATTAAAATGTAAATTCATGAGAAAATGTGTATATTTCAATGTATTAATGTAAGTACATTTGTATTTTATAATGTCTCAAATGTCATCTGAAATAATCGCACATATGATTTCCTGAAAAATAAGATTTAAAGGAATTCATCCCTTTCGAATTTTATTGTAGACTCTAGTAAAAAATTGATAGATATTCCTCTGGAATGAAATTTTCTGTGAATTTCACCGAGAAATCGTGTCAGTACCACTTTGTAGTTCCGAGTAAACACTTCAAATCAAGAATACATTACCTTGCCTTCAGGCGGTTGTTGTTTCACATTCAGATTTACCCCTGCAGACGAGTCCTGAAGACTGGGCAGATTCAACTGTTGAGACAGTTGACTCTGCAGCTGCTCCTCCCTTGTTGGTTCTGCAGGAGGCTTCTCCACTTCCTGCACAACGAGACGGGTTACTTGATTCGACATTTAGTCCGTGATATTGGTAACCATGATATTTGATCACTCACCAGTTCCGTGACCGGAAAATCGTATTTAAAGTTGATCTGCGTGGCAGTGATCAGAGCGGCACCCATGAGGACGCTGAAGATCGCGAAGCAGATCGTATAATTCTTCTCCATTGCATCTGGACCGCATGGATGCTCGGAGAACGCAGTGCTGTGATCTAAAGCGATACCGACGAAGAACATAGCAAGACCCCAGCCTAAACTACCGAACATTCGCTGGTGACCGTACCTGTACCAGAAAAGAAGCTCGAAATGCAAAGAAGTAATTAGAAGTTCGATGTTAAACAGGAAAAATTTACTTGTCCGCGTCTTCGCCTAATAAAGTGATGACGGCAGAGTCAGCTAGAGTGATCGCAGGCGCCGAGAAGAATTCACCCACTATCACCAACAGTAACAGGAGGAAGAAAGTTTTTTGGATGTCCTAGAACAGTAATTGCTTGTTAAGCGATAACACGAAAGTGAAAGAAAAGCACCTGCAATTGTCAAATACGAAAGCGATATGTACCGGCAATCTGTAGACAATCGAACTGTAGAGAGGTTTCACCCATCCTTTGTTCTCCTCTTCGTTGTAATTCGCAGCATTGGAAACACTATGAGGACTCTTGCCGGAGTGAGGTACGTTGACGTAACGTTTGGTCCTAACCAACGGTATCTGGACATCTTCGTCATTATTTTCGTCATTTTCGTTCGCTTCTTCTTCTTCTTCCTCTTCGTCCAACAAGGATACTTTACTTGGAGAGTTCACGGTGACCGTTTGAAACTTGGATGGAGACTCCTTCTCCTCTGAAATTTCATCATTGGCGTCTCTTTTCATCATGACCTTCATTGGTGGTGGTTTCACTCTCGTCTTGGTATGCGTATACGCCTTCTTTGGTGGTCTTCCATCGTCCAAAGGTTGGTTCTGAAATTAATGAAAATTAAACTTGATGACTCTTTTTGATTGAGCTAAATAGTAGTGATAATTAGACTGTGGATTTTTATGTATTTGTGGAAAGTTTAAAGGCCCCGAAAAGCACAGAACGTATAGGGCAGAGCAACGTATTTGAATAAACAAATAATAATTCTGTGTAACATATTTCAGTGCCACATTCTTCATTCCGTCATTTTCGCTGTTTTGTCACATTTTGATACATTTTTCTTAGTGGCACTGAAATTTTTCAATTTTGTTACGCACTTGTAGGTACCTCTGAAACAGAGAACAGAGCTTACATTTAGGAAACGTTTGTATTCGAGCACATCAGCTGGACGGTTTTTCCTTTGCAGAGTCTCAAAGTCGATAGTCTTAGCTTCGGGATCGTTTTCTTCGAACACCAGCTGTTTGTATTTCAAATCTTCGACAGGGCTCTCTTCTGTTGAAGTACTTGTTCCTTCTTGCGTTTCTCTTCGAACTCTATCGTTATTGAGATCGTAATTTTGTCGTACATCGTTCATCGTGCCCTGATTCATTTGTAAACTGAGAGCCGCCAGTGGATTTAGCTTGCTGTCTTTACGCAGCCTCTCGAAAACGACGTTGTCCGCTATCTCTAAACATTCTTCGTCATTTCGATGATAAAAATCGTCAAGATTGGCGGACCGTTTAACTATTCTTAATTTAGGGTTCGGTGGTTCCAGATACGGCGTGTTGTTTCGTATAACCCAACACGATGTGGCCGGTGGTTGCATGAAGGCCAGAGGAAGAGTGAAGATGATCCAGCAAGACAGAGAGGCTAAAAAAATCACCTTGCCCTTTTGCCACCTGAAAAAGAAACAACCATTTCCTAAGTAAATTTGGAACTGTGTGATTTGGCTTGGTCAAATCGCGTTTCTTTCTGTCCTCGAAGCGGATAAATCGATAAGAGGTTGAAGCTTTCTCTCCCAGCTTTGCTAACCCACGCAATATTGGATTCTGGATAATATCCACAAACATTAACCGAGCAAACTGTTTATATATGCAATCCAAACATACGTGTATGTAATACCAGTTAAAAGGGCAAGTAAGCAGAGACACGTAAAAGGAATTCTATACTCGTGTCATTCGTCCAACTTACATTTCTTTAAAACATATTCATTGATATTTGAACTTTACCACTAGCATTTTATTTTTCTATTTAATAACATATATACATACACATAGTGGGTCGAGAAGGTATTCGTACACTTGTCGACATTCTTTATGAACATATTGCGTGTGTTACATGAAACGTTTTGAAATTTCACTAGTACTGTAGCTAAACACTAATATCATGGTTATATTTCTGGTAGAATTTGAAACGATTCTAAACATTATATAGAAGTTACAGGATATTTAGTACAAGCATATATCCTGCAGAGATCACGAAAGTATTTAAGCAGATGGTCATCCGCAATATTAATAAGCCTCAGTATTCGGAGGGACAATTTGTAACGCTTATTATATGCTTAAAGTGGATTATGTAAGTACTTACGAGGTATCAGGATGTCACGTTATTTAAAGGCAAACGTAGGAGCAGGGACCAAAGCATTATAGATAGAATGAGACGTGGAAACGTAGAAGAGAAGAACAGATATTAGAGATAGGGACAGGAAAGAAGGTGTAATGTCTGTGAGAGGAATATTGACACGTTAAAATATTTGATAGAAGACTGTGCACACGAGTAGAAAGAATAAACACAGGTGTGGACAAGACTTTGGGATATAAAAAATTGGAATAGATGATGGAATGACTAAGGAAGGACGAGGAGAGAAAAGATAAAGAATAGCAATAGAAGTGGCTGATGGAAATAATAGTTCTAAAATAAGAAAAACTTCTAACGTAGACTCTTAATATGCAGTAACTAGGTTAAGGATATTGAAGGATAAATGAGAAGATCGGAAGAGGAAGTGTATGATTCAAAAAACTATAATTAAATCGCATTTATTGACCGCGAGGTCGAAATCAAATAAATCGTTACTATTATACTTAAAGTGGCTATTTATACTGAACTTTTACTAAATATAAATTTGTAGCAAATATCTTGCAATCCCTGTATATATTTTCAGATTAAATTCAAATTTTTCCAATATAGTCTTGCCAATCGCGGTCTCGTTATAGCGTTAATGAAATATCAAAATGTTTCATATAATACGCACAACATGCACATACAAACTTTCTACGGCAGGTGTACAAATACTTTTGCGAACCATTGTATAAGCAACATGTGCAATTTACTACGAAAGCATTCGAAATATAGTTGAACCGAGAGATTTAAAGCTTGTCAAATTCGTCGATGTTCGAACTTTGCCACTTTGGTATACTTTTTTTTAATAACATATATATACAACATGTACGATATGCCACGAGAGTATATAGTACATACAATTTACCGAAAAGACTTAAGATAATTGCCATCGAATTGCACGAGTAACTCTCTACTGAGAGTTACTGTGTTTACCAGTCTAGTAGATCGAACCTCTCACCTGTCAGCCAACGAACCCCAGAAGGGCGCGCTAAGGAACTCGATGAAGGGTCTTAGTCCCATCAGGAGACCGCACTGGCCGGCGTTCATGCCCATCTGCTTGAAATAAACTCCCATCAAAGGAAAAAGGGAACCAAAGGCAGAATAGAAGAAGAAGTAGAACGTTTTCACGGTAAGCAATTCCTGATCTACGGAACCAAACAGGTACTCGATCACGTCGCTCTTGCCACGAATCTTGTGCGTCGCCTCTTTTGGTTGAGGATACAAGGTGGGATCGACCTCTCCTTGGGCTTGTGGGTCCACTATGGGCCTGGCTCCTGGCACCTGTTGTATCGTTCTACCAGGACCCTCCTGCGATGTTCCATCGGCTGTCCCATAATCGTAATCCTCGTGTGCACAGTAATTCGGCATGACTGGAGTCCAGGACTGTGGCTATCCTATCCTCGGATCTACGCTCTTTTTCCTCTGAGACACTTAGATCGAATCGAATGGAGGAATCGACGACCACCGTGGTATCCAGAATTGGAGAAACGATATCCGACCGATTCTAAGAATCGGCCCCACCTTGAACTATTCACGAGTGTAGTTGCTCGAGTAAGTTCTCCTTCGAGCGTCTGTCGTCTTTCGGGGATCACCAGCTACAATCCTTTTAGACGAGCGTCGAATCGATGGCCCAGCGTGTGGCACCTTCTGCTCGCGAAATCGATAATCCTGGCAGTGCGCCCGCGCAACTTGCACCCCCTTGCGCACCCTACCGACGACTCGGCCGGTGACACATCGCTAGCGATGGACGCTCGATCCTATCCCGTACCAGCTTTCGAACAAGTGGTCTAGGTGCTCTTGGAAATCGTGTTGTATTTCTTTCAAATTCGATATTTGACAAAAACTGGAGATCTTTGGTAAACGAAGGATTAATAAAAGTGGTTAATAAGAGTTGGATAGAAAGAGTATGTAGATCTTCGAGAATTATATCATTAGATAGTAGAAGAGTTTGGATATATGTAAAGCGTACTGGAATTTTTCATTACTTAGAGAGAATCTCGTGGGCAGTAGGGATTTAATAGAACGTAGATTTTGGAAAATTATGTAATTAGATAACGAAAAACCTTTTAGAATACTATTGTAGAAATCCTTAAAACTTCAATACGTATTTGAAAATCTTTCACGAGTGAGAGACCATCTCTTGTTAGATATAGAAATTGAATAGAGAGAATACATAGATCTTACGAAAGTATACGATTAAATAATGGAAGATAATAATAAATAAACAGCGAGTGATGCAAGAACTCGAACACTTATCGCAGAACATTTTTAGAAATATATTATTTGCATTACATGAAATATTATCAATATTATGAGTCTCAGGACTATCGTGATTAAAATAATAAAATTAATGACCAGTGAGAACGTATATAAAAAGTGGAAGATGCTCATTGCGAAAGTACACGTGAAAATTAACACGCAGTATGAAGAGTATTGTATCGGAATTTTCCAAAAGTTATTCAAAGGCTAGACGCGTCTCAAACCCTTCGCTAGAGTTGGCACTAGTTTCTGACCAAATCTCGAAACCCTTGGCTTTTTCCACTTTCATCAACCCTCTTCTTCTGCGATTCTTGCGCAGTTGACGGTACGCCGGATATCCGGCTTTCAAGCGTAGCGGCCTGATACCATTAATGATTTTATCCCTGTTTTTTCTTTTCGCCATTATCTTATCGCTTCTATTTTTCTTCGCGCGTTTTCTTTCTATGAGATATCGATTGACCTGTTAATTGATCAAACGTAATAACCAAAAAAAGAAAGATCGTAATAATCTAAAGGAGCTTGTTTATTTTTTGTTTGGGAGAAACAAGTTGTCTGGAGGTTATCAGTTGGATGTGAAGCGTGAAAAAGTTTCGCCTGGTGAGTAGAGTAGTCTCCAGACTGTTTAGGGAAACCTACTTCATGCTGAACGAAGACCGTGCATCGAATGTCGAAGACCTTGACCCGCAACTTACGTTCTTTCCTTTATCTTAGTAAAACCAAGCGTTCCGGTCGATTATTCTTATCGTGGGCGGCACAGGGGGTTGAAAGTTTGTCGTTGCATCCTTTTTATTTACGTGCAATTTCTAAGGCATTCTATCAGCTTGGATTGCATCTACATAGGTCACAAATATTTATTAATTACCAATAATTATACAAATCTTTTATGAATCTATTATGTTTGTTAGAGGAAATATTTTGAAACTTCATAAGCTTTGCAACGAGAGCCAGCTGCTATTTATGATTACACTGGCAAAGTTTAAAGCAAATCTTAAAATGTACAATGGAAGCTACAAAATATACATTAGGTTGCTCCGAAAAATTCGTAGAGAGAAGTAAAAAGGATTTAACTGAGGTTACACCTTTTACCATCACTATTCCTTACGTTTTCTCTTATATTCGGCATTCTTAGCCCATATCTTCTATCGCAATTCCTACAGTACATATTTCCTTTTCATATCTTATATTTAATATGTCCACGCCCTTCATTCTATCGTCATTTTTCACATGCCTTTTTCCACATTCTGTTTCCAATGTTTATTAAACCGTGCTCCATAGCCCATTTATCCTTCTCTACATTCCATATCCTGTACTTTAGTTCCTTTCCCCTACATTCCAAATAGAACTACCAATTTCCTCGAACTCACGCCCCATATTCCATGGGGCGTATATGTCCAACATATATTCTCCATCGCGTATCTAGTGTACACGATCCAATACTAACATCCCATATCCAATATTCTCTACCCCATGACGCTATTCCATTCTTTTCATTCGACATTTTTCTATGTCTCATATCTTGTTTCTCGCGTCGTAGTTCATTAAATCTGCCATTCCAAGTCAGACGCAAGAGAAAACCCAGAGAATGCACACAATACGTAAAATGTACCTCGCAAATTGCCTATAACACATTTTCACTTCTCGCAAACGAAATTCGTTGCCCGCAAATTCCACAAGAAACCGACGCTTTCCACGACCAAAAGTCGCCATCCGACAAAATGAATTTCGTTGGCCACGAGTTTTAAAGTATGGGATACTGGGAAATGGATTTAGAAAAATTGGTCATTTGAATTGGGATGTAGAAAAAAGGAAATAGAATGTTGGACATGAAATATAGAATAGGAATGTATATGAATAAAAGATATATGAAATGTGCGAGAAGATATGTGATGTGAGAATTAAGATAGAAGATATGGGCTAGCCATACTAGATGTGGACTAGAGAATATGAGAAACTGGGTATAAATTATTAATTATGACATGAAGAGATGAAATAAAGGGAAGTAAAATGAAAAATGAGGGTTGGGAATATTAGTTATTGGACATAGGATATAAGATAAAATATACCATGCATAGAATGTGAGATGGAAATGTAAACTGTGGAATGGACTTGGACATGGGATAGTGGATATAGCGATACGTCTCCGAAAACTTGATACAACCTGGAAGAAAGCGATTCCTGGTGTAAAGCTAAGTCGAAAATATAGGCTAAAATTTTTTCATATGGAGCTGCGTTCTCGAAAAAGTCAAATTTGAATGTTCGTTAAGTACGCGTGCACTTAACCCGAGCTTATCGTTTACCCGATACTATCCTGTATTAGCCCGGAGAATTCACGTCAGCCCAATTCAATTCGAAGTACGTAAGTTTCCACTTTATATTTAAGACTCCGCGAGTCGTAGATGGAGGAGAAAAAGCTCGCTATTCTCTGTAGTTTACATTTTCCATCCGAGATGGTCTACGGTTAAAGGATGACGTATCTGATATCGATGAATCAGAACAGAGCACGATGCATGTGCATGTGCGTGATCGTAAAATTTTTTCTCGCGATAAAACCGGAACTGGGATTTTGCAAGAAGTTCACGCACGTAAAAAATTTCATAATCTTCACGAAGAGATTGCCTTCAGTCGAGAAATTATTTTGACCCGTCTATACGCTACGAAGGGAAAGTTTTACAAAAGTGTACACTAAGTGCGTATTACTCTGCTCAAATAAATTGAGTTCAATGAAATTGAAGTTTGAAACGCAAGATCGCGATATTGTGGGACATTTTTCTTGCTCCTTTTATAATCCAGCATCGATCGTACCGCTGTTCACGGATAAAGAGACCACGCTTGTTCACACGATTAATCGTTATCATCTCCAACAATTTACAATTGGCATAAAAGGCTCCTATTCTCTACCTAAGAAGAATCAGTGACGCAAACTCGCATGGCCTTATTTCAAAGTTCAAGTATGAAAGCTCGCAGAGGGAGCATTCATGCCTAGCTTCACCTAGACGCATGGCGATAATTCGCGTGCGTCATTGTTTCGATGATACACTCATTGACTTCGAGATTCGATTGCTAATGGAGCTTTGCACAATGATGCGCTAAAGAAATTCACGAAGAACGCGTAAATATCGATAAACGAATATTCATCAGAGTATTGAGTTCACGAACTCGATGATTATAGACAGGAAACAAAACATGTAACTTACGAGATAGAAAATAAATATATTTTATGCTATAATTATATTATACAAATGAAACTACGACTAACATATACAAATATCGTTTTAAATTATTAAAAACTATTTACAAAATGCAGTCGCCAACCCCGAAGATCTTTTTATTCTTCCACCCTCCCTCCCGCAACCCCCGGTTATTTGATTCATTGTCATGTTAATTGCCACCTAATTTCTATAGTTGAAGATGTCTTTTGATATAGGGTCCATATGGGATTGACCCTCGAACGCCGTCTTAGCGGACGTCGAGGAGGGTGCTGGTTTTGGAGGACCTTGGAACATGCAGGTTTTCGCTGTCTTCAACAGGCGACCATCACTCGCCGTTCGCCAATAAATTGTGCGAACTGCTTGTTTGCCAGCGACGTAGCTTACGGCTCCACCGATCAGCATCTGAAAGTGAAATAAAACGGAAGATTAATTTATGGATTTCAACGATCCACTGGGAAAATGTAACGATTCAGTATTGTAGATATTTATGGTCTACGATCAGAAGTTGGAAGTTACAGTTGGGAAAAGGAAGGAAATGAATAATTAAATATCGTGGGCATTTGTAATCTGAAATCGAAAGTTGAGAAGTCAAGAAGAGAAAAAGAATCGAGGAAAATCTTTCAAAGCAAAGTCTTTCACGAACGAATCATCTCGTATAAGTAATCACACGTATATTTATATAGAATAATATAGAGTAATGTAATTTTTGGAAATATACGTATACCACAGCGAAGAGTGAAAGTCAAAGTTCCGAAGCAAAGACCAGGAAAAAGAAAGAACGAAATAAACGACACCAAATAGAAGCGCTCACCTTTGTTTGCTTTGCTCAAGTCGATATACTGTGGACTGGATGTTGGAGATAGAACTGTGAAGTTCTATTTCGTAGCTGGTCGAAAACTGGTGGAAATAACGAGTTGAACTTGTCGTAAGTGTCTCTACCTTATGAGTATACGACCGTACGAGGAGGAAAGCTGAACTGGCGAACTGGTCTTCTCCGGTGGATAATTTATACGATAAAGACGACGTCACGGGATCTCGCGATAAGGGGAAGTTAGCGTCATTCACCGTGATCACCGAATCCTGAGAAGACAGCCACTGGTGGGATACTTTTAAACATGGCAGCACAAGATTTAGATAAACGCCGCCGCGTCGTTTCCACTTACCTATCGGTGCATCGTTATCGAAGCTTCTAGCGTGTAAAAGCAAAATTCGATAAACAGTCGACCACTGTGGCGCAATTGCGGAATGCTCGGTCGGTTTACCAAAATGTGGATTGGTCAAGTAAAGCATAACTAAGAGAAACTATAAACGCGTGGAACGCGTTAATGCGGTCATACATCGATATAGTAAATCGGATCGTGATAACGTGACCTTGTATCGTTACTTCCGAACGATCTTCTTTTTCATACGAAACACAGTAATTACGTATTATGTATGAATACAGAGAAATGTTAGTAAATAACGGCGAAGCGAAGCATACGAGGTCCGTAAATCATCTATACGAACGATACCTTCTTCTAAATCATTAAACAGTTTTTCCTCGATCGCTTGCCGCACATGGAAATTTATATGTGACGACACGCGGCTCGTATCGTTGAAAAAATAGTCTCCTGACAGAGATAACATTTCGCATCATCTCGATGTACTTTGTTTCTGACGACAGTCGATGTACAGTTTCTCACGAGAGTACTCGACACTTGTAGAAACCTTTCATGAATCTGTTATGTGCATCATACGAGACATCTTGAAATTTCGTTAATGCCGTAACGAGATCCGACTAACGTGACTATATTGGTAACGTTTGGAACAAATTAGGAAATGTATGTAGTTGCCAGTCTTATATGAAAAGCGATATTAACGTAAATATTAACGACAATTGACGTAGATTATCAAGGAAACGATCAGTCGATCACAATGTTGCACTTATGCAGCAAAACTTTTTGCAACATTAGCACTGTAGCGAGACACGACTATCGTGACGATATTGGCAAAATTTGAAACTGATCTGGAAACGTATGTGAAAGTTGCAAGATATTTATTGGAAGCATACGCTTCCCAAAAATCGCCAAAATATTTGTACGGTCAATCAATGGCTGTATTAATAAGCCACAATATTTAACGAGACCATCTTTAGTACTTATTGTATGTTTAAGGCTGTATGCTGTACTATTCATGCTGCATTTTTGATTTTCCACCAAGCGTATATTTGAAATAAATGTCTTGGAACTTCTCTGTCTTACAATTATAAAAGAATGATAAAAAAAAGCGATTTAAAATATCGCTAACGAAATTTCAAAAAAGGTTTTTATGATAAGAGGTCGGATACTTTCGTGAGTTACTGTACGTACGATTTATTCATATGTCGTACATTGTACGCGTCGGAATACACAGCAGCGTGTTCTTCCTGGGTATAGTACAAAGGAAAACGCGTGCTGCTCATCTGTCATTGTGTCTGGGAAAATCACAGATCATTCTCGTGCGCGAACACTACTTGTCAAACAGAGAAAGAGCGTTTCTAAAATTACACGGCTACATAAACATAGATAGGTTGGAAATACGTCCTCTTGTCGGAAATACGCGAATTCTAATCACTATGTAAATTGGAAGAAGTCTAGAATACCTCTTACTTTTCAAACGAAAATTCTTTTTTTTGCAAAAGAAATCATTTCAGAGAATCTTCCCTTGCAAAAATTCAACGATTACGTGTATTGAGTTTAAACTATTTATTTAAAATCGCTATATGTATAAATTCAAATTTTAAAATACGTTCCAGTTTACAAACTATAGCTTTAGTAGAAAATACTGGCTTTCCTTGTGAATTACACATATAATTCCAAAACATCTCTCTTATTATCTAACAATTCTACGTAGCGAGCTCTAATCGTTACTCATTGACCAAAACTGACGCGGAAGTTTGCGTCTATTACATCTGCCGATCACATGTTCGGGATGTACAAAGATCTATATCGATTCTTTCAATATCGTTGATCTATTAGATTGGAGAGTTATTTTTATCCTTATCGCTAAAATCACCAGGTTATAATTTGTAACGAGTCTCGTCTCGATAATGTTCATTCGAGTAACGAGTGCGCTTTTATCGGTTAATTGTTGATACAACGTATAACAGGGGCCTAATCTATTGTATATGATTTTCCTGGAAATTGTGCTTCATCTATTTTCACAAAGGCTGGAAAATTCTGCCAACAAATGTCGTTCTACACGATAAAAAAATTAATTTGCAATTTTATTATATATATTTTTCACTTTTATTAATTTATCAAAATTAATACTATACGATATAACTGCTCAAATATTAACTCTGCCGAAGTCCTCGAACTTTTCTTATCTGAATCATACTCTCGTTTTAACGAACAAAAATAAGTTTACTGTTTCCGATGTTTGAAACTGAAACGTAAAAGTTACGTAGAATTTGAGAAATTCGAAGAACAATATCACTGGATTTTAATATCAGAATGACTCGAAGAATATGACAGAGTTAAACCCAAGGAAAAGACGAGAAATACTCTTGAATAATGTGGTCGACGATTCAAATTCCTCTTTCCTCTTTTCTCTTCATATTGACATACACGTTATATGCACTTCAGAGATACTTCTGAAGAATCAACCTCCTACCGCCTCATGCAACAACCTCCGCTCAAATAAAATGTTTACAAACGATCACTTAGATCATGATTTAATGGAATGTTAACCGTTTTTTAATTGCGATCTCCTCTTAACCTAGTAATCTACAACCTCCCCTCTCGTATATAAAAAAAAAAGTGTCAGCATGTTTATACGATAAGTATGAGAAAATAAACGCGTAATACATATCACATTTAGCGAAGCGTAATTCGATAGTATAATTTGAGTATGATTTGATATATAATTATATCGATATATTCAATGTACATATTCCTATAATCATGAAATTAAAAGTTAAGGACGACTAGTTTTAGATAGATTGACTTGAATTTTTCCAGATATAAACGTAACTTATTCTCGAAAGTGAAAAACAAAAAGAAATAGCAGGAGTAAAAAGCTATGAGATGCGTAAATAAAGAAAGTATTGTGCGTTCAAGGAATTAGAAATCCCAATAATCGACGACTTAGCTCGTTTTTTCCGATTATCCAGTTAATGAGATACTTGGCAAGAAACTGTGGATGCGAGATGTAACGCACTTTCGAAAACGTTATGATCCAAACGATCGATGGAAAGTTTTCCCAGGGAGGGCAAGCGGAAAAGAAATCGTGGAGTTCATCGCGTGCTGCGTAACCCGAAAACCACTTGAAACGATGGAACAGATAAAACGATGCGTTCAACACGCAAAAGCGCGAAAAACGCGTGCATACGATCTTTTACGAGGAACAGAGAAGTCGTGTAATTCACGTGAAGCCTTCGTGGCGTCGCGGAGAGAAGCGGAGAGGGGACGACGTGATCGCGATAGACGATCGTCGATTTCGATAAGAGCGGCTCGTGTCTTGTCTTAGCTGCCTGCGATTTCCATTTGCACATTCACCGATGTGAATGACAGTCACCGATTACTGTCACTGAGCTTTCTGCTTACGCCTCTCGAGCCCCATCGGTGACTGACAAGCGACAAATGTTTCAAAGTATATGTACAAGAGGTAATTAATTACACATTCCGAAGATTATTATTATTATTTATTAATACGTTGAACGCGGAGCTAGTTCTATTCTACTTTCTATTTAGACGATACGTAAATGCAGGGAATAATAGAAAATCGAATACTTGCGGAGGATTTTTATTTGATTAATTTTTATTTAAGACGTTTCGACGAAATCTATTAAAAAAGTGTAAACATATTTCTTAATATTACACGATTATAAGATATCTTTTTTAATTTGTTGTTGTTGGTTTCTCGAAACCGTTGCCTCCTAAACTGAAAGTTTATCGTTGGTCTCTAAAGATGTAGCGTACATATGGATATAGCAAGGAAGACATAGCGTTTGGCGTGTTAATAGTACTAACATCCTATAATAAACAAAGTGCATTGTTAGATGATATATTTTTGTTTATGACATCAGGTATATTGTGATGAGGGTTGTACTAGTGCCATCTTTACAGAATGTAGTCTTTTAAATTTTTTTTCTTTTTTTATATGCCTTTTGCAATTCTTCATAGCATCTTTCGCATTGTCTAATTTACCACGTGTTCTCATTTTTACTTTGTATTTCGTGACGTTTGTAAAAAGTGGAAACATAATAAAAGACGTAAGTGAAAGATTTGTAAAACGCAATTGGAGGTGAATTTGTCAATGAGCGAGCGAGACCCCTTTCATCGCATGCTTGCATCGTTCGTGTGCAGTACATATGTATATACGAGTACATATGCAAAAAATTCAATGTCGAACGATAATCGAAAAACGAGGAAAGCGAGTAATTGCTTTGAAAGAAAATTATATAATCGTAGACAGGCCATATAAACAAGTATACTATATTATATATGCGTAAATGATAAGGTTTCTGGAGTGGATGTACATATCTTCGCTGGGGGGCATGGTACTATTCAATTAATTATATATCAACCTTATCGAGCATTATCGTGTTCGTGTTATCGCGAGCACGAGTCACTCGACCGAAATCAATTTTGGGTATCTCCAAATTGAATCGTGAAACGAAGATCTGGGAATTCTGAATGATCCACTAGACTGCGCATTTTACAGAATAAGTACATTTTTATCTCACTTTCAAATTTCTATGCCTGTTATGTAATCTTGCGATATTTTGTTATCTTTTTAATGCTATTATATACTACTCCATTCAATTTTCCTACTCGCATATAACGTACAGGAGCATATAGAATATGTCCAATATCCATAAAGTATTCATTCTAATATCTACTAAGTATTTATATACTTTTTCTTATACGGAATATATGTTATATTCTAATACAATCTATAAATTAGATCGTTTTATTGTATCTTCTGATATAATCAATAAATTAGATTGTTTTAATGTATCTTCTAATACAATCTATAAATTTGATTGTTTTAATGTGTTATCTAATATAATCAATAATCTCGAATCCAGAATCTATAAATCGTAGGTGAAATATCTGCTTAAGTTCCCCTTCTTTGAATGTATCTATAAAAGTATAAAAGCGCATATATGTCCAGAGTCTATAAACGACTATATATTCGTGGAAAACCTATGAAAATAGATTAATCGACGGATTAAAAATAAATGAGCCATTTATCGAGCTTAGTCTATTTGAACAAAAGAATATTGCCGTGATAAGAAAAGATGGGAAAATTACTTTATTGTCAAGCTTCGGGGCAATACATTTTATTTATTACAGGATACACTCGACGATGCGAGATTTATCTTCCTAGAATTTATTTCGATGACTTCTCGGTAATAAAAGATAGGTGACCAATTATATCCAGAACAAAGCAGATGATGTTGATACCGACAGGAATTACCAATCGCTCGATAGCGCTTATCAGAAACACGTTGTTACATGAACGAGACCTAATGTTATTATACTGGTTTGGCAGCTCGTGGTTGTTTCTACGAGTTAGAATCGAGAGGAACGTGACTCCTTGTGGGCGTATGCTCGCGCCAAGTATAACAATGGGAACAAATATGAACCGTTCAGAAACCATATCGATTGACTCCGCAAATTGGAAAGCGTAGAAAAGCTAAGATGTTATAATCACTATGAAATTTATCTTGGAATTTACCATCACTAGACCGCGGATTTTTATTAAAAATTTCGTAATTTGATATTTCGTACACTTTCGCAATTTCATATTCTTACGAAGAAAAAAACTAAGGGAACAGAATCTGCATAGTAATTTGTTTCACTTGAGACGCTTTACATATTTTTCTGTATTATCCGCGTTCTCTGGATCTTTGTACCTTAGTTAAGAGATTCATAAAAAGAGGAGTTAATTAGTTCGGCTTATAAAAGGCTCATATTACACGATCGCTTGTATCGTGCCAGTGGTGCCAGCGAGTCTACACTGTTCGTCTGCTTATCTTCGTGCGATTCTCCCTTATCTCGTGTAATCACGCAATTTGTTCTTTTCCTCGCGTATGAAAACAAACGACGGCTTCTTCGAGACAAGAGCAAATATGGAAATTCTTTGTTTCTAAGTCATTTTTCACTTTGAAATCGGAGAAAGATAGAATTTAATCTATATACAGCGGCTGATGAAGTTATTCGAACACTTACCATAGAAAATTGTTATGTATATTTGGAAATCTAGTTTGTACTATAACGAGACACGACCATCCCGATTATATTCGAAACAACCGGAAAATGTGTGTAAGTATGCGTATATAGAGCTCACGATATATTTACTGCAAACGTTTAATTAAATATCGAGACTTATAGTTACGCCAAATGTCTTGTGATTTTTACATGTATTTTCAGATTTGTTTCAAACTTTAGCAACATAACCATGACAGTCGTGTATCGTTACAAAGCCTATAAAATTTTAAAATATTTGATACAACACATACAGTGTATTCGCAAAAGACGTCTACAAGAGTTCGAATACTTTCGCAAGCCACTGTATATTCATATAGTTTTCTCATCTTAAATTCTTCGTGATTGTTGGAGAAAGGAAGTTTCAAGCTATAGAGCTTGCCAATTTAAAGATCACTTCTCGACCTCCTTATAATCGTCAATCAGAGCTATGACGTTGTCGCAAGCTTCACCGAAGGAATCTTCCTCCATGCCTTCACCTACGTAATGGTGAACGAAAGCTCTTTTCTGGAACATCAAGTCGAATTTGCGAACAAGCATCGACCATCTATATCTGATAGCGGTATTGTTGCTGGCCATCACTACCGTCCTCCTCGACTTCGCCAGGTCACCTCCGGGAACTGTTGTAGTTGGCTGATAGTTAATTCCTACCTATGAAAGCAATCATTTGAATTTCAGAATTCTTAAAAAAATAAAATATCTTGTTCTTGCCGTTTCTACGTTTTAGAAACATGCTTTATACCAATTTACATAGCGATATTATATCGTCTACTATACGGCGGTTGGGATGACAATTATTCGAAGATTTTTCATTTTTTCATTTTTTAGAATCGAAATCGCGATCTAAAATACACTGTTACATTAGAGGATTATAGTCTAAGAAGGGAATTTGGGAAGGGACTTTGATAGAAACTAATTAAACTATTAAACTATATATGACACCTATTTTACCTTACTATGTAACTTACAAGATATGGTTGGTGGAGGTTTGTGATTAAAGCAGTTAAAGTTTGAAGGAAGATGGAAAGTTGGATGAAAGTTTATGAAGATATGAATGATTCGATGGTAAAGGTTCGGAAGAACGTTAGTAATTCAAGAAAGGTATTTTGCTCGACTACCATAGCGCATCTTTGAAAGCCTTTGACATTTTCCATGTGAGATCTGAATACTAAAGCTCCTCTCGGTAAAACTTCGTTTAGACTAGTCAGGTTGCTCGAATTTAAACGACTTGATGTCAAGCGAAATGAATACAAATTTGAGAGAATATCTCAAATAAACATGTAAATAATAACTTTACGCCAGAAAAATTTTCTGTCTGATTCGGGTAACCAGGCTAATCCGAAAAAAGTTTAAAGATTCAGAATTATCGAGAATTCTATTTTTGTTTATTAAATAGATGCAAACAAGCTCATGAATGATCGTACAAAATACGGAATTATCTATTTAGAGTTCAACGTACCAATTTTTGTTACTATCAGACGTCAACGTTGTGCGTATGTTAAACAACGAGCTAGAAATTCGCTGCATCATTTAACAACGATCCAGTTCCTTGTTGATCGCGAGTAATCGTTTGTTGCAAAATGAGAAAGGAAAAATGCTGCGCAATTACCTTGAACCCAGTCGGACTCCAAGTGACGAAACGAATCGACTTCGCCCCCTTCAACGACGCGATCGTTCTATTGACATCATTTGGAGCCACATCTCCACGATACAGCAAACAGCAACTGGCGTAAGCTCCTACGCGTGGGTCACATGATACCATCTGAAATTTATGAAATGAGATGACGAAACTTTGGAGGGATACAGTTGTGATGAACGAATCGCGAGGATAAGTAGGAATAATAAAATTTGCCTGTACACCGTGAGCTTAAATTCGTGGCACGGAAGAAGCCATGGAAGCTTCTATCGCTCAAAGTGGGACGAAAATTAAACATAAAATAAAATTGTACCGCAGGCTCCATTCGCGAACAAATCCTGTTTAGGAACTTCTCAAGTATACGCGAATTTGCCTGAAGAAGATCAGGCAGAAGAAAATTCTATATACGAAAATAAGTCGAAAATGTAATATTCGAAGATCATTAACACATTCCAAGTTACTTGACTGTCAGGATTCTTAAGGATCTTTTACAGAACATCGATTATCCTCGAGATGTTTGCATTTTTACTTCACCTGATTAGAAGGTTCGAAGCAACTGTAGGTGATCTGTTGGGTGGTAATTTCGGAATGCATGGCTTTTCTGGGAGAGATCAGCGGAGCGTACGTAGCCAAAGTGAAATGAATTCTATGATAAGGCACCAAATTTGTTTGTAGTTCTTCGAGACTAAGATTTATGGCACCCTCGAACCTCATCGAAGCTGTGATGCTCGAAACAACTTGAGCCATCAGGCGATTTAAGTTGGTGTAAGTTGGGTAATCAACATCCAAGTTCCTATAAGGAATAAACAACAGGGCGATGCAAAACTCACGTCTGTTTTAGTCGAATAGACGAATCTTTTTAACAGCGAATGCGTTGATTAATATACCTGGCGCAAATGTTGTATAAAGCTTCGTTGTCGACGAGAAAGGAACAATTCACGTGGTCCAATGCACCGTGGGTAGTATGGACTGCATTATAGGGTTCCACGATAACGGTGGCAATGTTAGGTGATGGAAAGACGACAAAGTCTAGAGTAATCGTCTTGGGATAATTCTGTGATAGATGTTCGAGCAACAGCGTGGCGAAACCACTTCCGGTACCACCGCTAATTGACCTTTACAAACGTTGAGTTTTAACCAAATTGAGCTAACACAATTCAACGAGTAGCATATCTTTCGTTGTGATTAGACTACGCATATTTGTTTATGTAAATTCATAATTTTTTGAATATAATTAAAACGCTAGAACCTAGATGAAAAATTGCTTTACGAAGTAAACATTATAGAGAGTATTATACTTTGGATATCTATGTATGCATTTACAAATTTCTCATAAATGCATAAACATCCGTATTCTAAATCCGACAAATCTTAAGCTTTTATATAATTTTTACTCCTACTCTTTCGTCAAAATTCAGTAACCTGAATACGATAAATCCAGCTGGCTTCGAGCATGTTTCCCATATTCTACAAACGCGATCCAACACAAGGGCGATCGCCTCACTACCGATGGAATAGTAACCCCTCGCGAAATTGTTCGACGCGTCTTCTTTCCCAGTGATCAATGACTCGGGATTGAAAAGAGCTTTATAAACGCCAGTCCTGATCTCGTCGATCACAGTGGGCTCTAAATCGATGATTAACGTGCGTGGCGTCAATTTTCTTGCCTAAAAATGAATTTCCATGTAGACAGAGTGTTTGCATTCACTTCGGTGATATTTTTTTATCGAAATTCAATAATGCATAATGCACGTAACACACGGCAGAAGTGAAAGATAACAAAATCACGTTGAAGGCTTTCAAGCAGTATTAAAATCAAAAAATCAATGAATATATATTTATTACATTTTTTTACGATTTTCGAACATAGAACAGCTTGCCGTCAGTTATCTGTATCTACTCGAGAATCAGCCAAGTTCACGTATACTCGACAAGTTTTGAAACTCAATTTTCTCAAGAGTAAAGCCTCCAATGCAATTTTTGCAGATTTTATATTCTTGATTTTTATTTCATTTTGAATAGCTTTTTATCAGTAGTCATAGAATCTTCTTTCAATTACAGTATGTAACGTATTTATATAAGCCACAGTGTATATTAATATTTGAACGATCACTTATTATATATTTTCTCACTTGTGTCTCTGAAAAAAAAGCATGCATAGAAGGGTCCATTGGATAATAGCCCTGACGAAGAGAACCGTTTGGGGATACACCATGTTCCAGACAAAATAATTCCCAACAAGCATTTGCTATTTGCGTGCCAGCCTGTCCTATGAAAATCGTTATTATTTCACTTGGTCCTTCCATCCCTTAACCATACTCCAAATTATAAATTTCCGATGAATTTCCATTTGCGATGAATGAACAACGAACGCCTCATGTTTCAAGTAACATGAGATTACGCCAGAAATTTTGATCATTATCTTACATTTTTTTTTTTTTTTTTTCTTACTTTCTAACGAAACATTTTTATTTATATATCTGTCAGAGTGACATGTTCGAAAGACAGTGAACCTGTTCGTTTATGAAAGAACGTCAAATTTTTCGTCATATCCATAGCAATGTGAAAAATATTTGAACGAATCTGTAATGATAAATCAGGGATGAGTGTTTGATTCGGGAAATGTTTATTGCGTGACATTACATAATAAATAACAAAGTTTCTCAAACGTTACCTACATCTTCGACGATAATTTTTAAAAGTGCGCAATTGCAACAAGATTGCGGATTAACAGTGATTAGGTACATTTTTACATCGACTCTGTACAATCTCGTGGAATATTCATTACTGTGTTACATATTTACTTCTAGTTACGAACATCCAGCTGGCAGTACCATAATCGATAAATCAACTACTTTATTATTCACATACGTGGACGCATGGTCTTTGTAAATCCACTTTTGAACGAAATACACATTTTGTGTTTCATTGATATGTATTTTGATCCCTTTGAAGAACCCCAAATGAACAAAAATAAGTACTGATATACATTAAGTTTGGATACGTTACATCATTTCTCCTCGTGTTACGAAATGTTAATTGTAATATATTTGAACTTCAAATTCTACGGTAAGAAACTCAATACTGTAGCAATTTGTCATGTTAGTTTTTGTACTATTACAGACCTGACTTAATTTTATATACAGTATCTGTATCTTATTTGGCGAAATATTTTAATAAAAGAATCACGTTTGTTGTACGACATTTTATGTCGACGTAAAGTCAAAAAGTGGCATCTCAAGAGGAGTTAAAGGTGGCAAAGGTGCAAGTCTTAAGGAATGTGCATTATCTAGCCTAGTTTCGTCATTAAGGTTAGCAGACACTGCATGAAGTTGTTCGGTCAACTGTCTCACTTCCTCTTCCTTTGCCTCCAATTGACTTAGCAAGCTACCAACCAGATAACGTAATTGGCAATTAACAGTTTTGAGTTCCTCTATAACAGTGCCTGTATCCTTTGGATATTTGAAAGCTTTGTCGTCGCTGTTAGGTATCAAGATTAGACTTAAAAGACTATCCTGCTCTTCGATGGTTCTATATATAGCTTGCCGTAGAGATCCGTCAAATTTATCATTTGCAAACTCAGACGTATCTTTCTCAACCTGTTTAGCTGCCTGTTTGCGGAGAAGTTCCCTTTGTTGATTTTCCAATGTAGTTTTGTACTCTTCGTATTGTGCTTGTTTCATTCTAAAAAGTAAATTTTCATAAGAACAAATATCCTTTGCATCGTATAGCAAGAAAAGGGACGATTATTACCTAACTACAGCAGCTTGTCTTTTATGGTAATCACATTGAAGGGCCAGAGATTCTAAAGTAATGAACGAATGGAAAGAGGAAATGACGATTGGCTGGGTCTGACTAGATAAATTAGAAGTCTTCAACCGAGCAAATCTAGATTCCAGTTGTGCGTGTGCCTCTGCTAGAAGACTAGCCACTGTTTCATGACACTTGGCTGCCTCTTCGAAACGACCTTCTCGCAACAATGCCTCTGCTCTCCTTTGTCTTTCGTGCGCCTTTGGTAGAAAAAATTTCATATCAATATTATGCAACACATTAATCAAAAAAAGTCCAAAGTCTAAACAGTACCAAACAAAATTAACATATGACATTCGACAACTCAATATCAAAATACGACGTAGCTTGCACAGTCGTATGTTTTTGTAAAACTCAGTCAACTGACTGATGCAAAAGTACATTGTATATAGCGATTAATATTTGAATAATGCATAAACTACGCGCATATGACGGAGGTAAAATTATTAGTCACGCATGACGATAAGATATTGAAGAAAATACAATGACATTTACCGCGTTTAGGATTGATGTCTCCATAGTTGATCAGCTGATTGAATCACAGAATAAAAACAGAGAGGCAACATGTGGGTTATTTTCTGTTACGGTAGAAAATGACGTACTTACCGACCGAGCATACAGAGTAGTGTGCAACAAGTTCAAACGGTACGGGCGGTACTAGACAGAGAGAGAGCGATAGTGTGCCACAAGTATAGAAAAATTTTAGATCGAAGCCTCCTGCGTTATCTGTACATTCGAGGCTAATGCATTTAGCTCTCAAGTATTGCTCTTAATGCTATTTCATCTATGTTATACTAAATGTAATTGTTTATACGTTAGTTGTGGTATGAATGTAGAAAATGGAATGAGGTTGGAGGTCACTCTGGTAGAGTGTACTTCATTCTGGTGGATCCATTTTCATCCTCGAGAATCGAAATAATTTATTAACATATAAGTATGTACTAGATAATTATAGGTGTAAGTATATAAGTATACACATCCATTTCCGATCACGATCGATGAAATTATGTATGTCTTTTATGTATCTGGATTTCCACGCAATAGATATTGAATTCCTATGTGATTATACTGTAACTAAATATCGTATTTCTTACAAAAATGTATTGCATAGAAAAGAAATGAAAAGCTTAGCATTGAACTTCAACTAAGGCATGCAGATGAAATGTCATACATACCGTTAAAGAGATTCAGGAATTTTATATAAATCACTTAGTTTCCCTATATGAGTGTACGCATGTACATATATATGCCTATACTTTAGTGAATAAATATTAAAAAATAAAGTAGTCTGCGATATTACCGATCGATGATAACGGTAACTTTGTACATTGCATTTTTCGTTGTTAAGAGATGGCATTGTTATACATACGCGAATGCAAAATTGAACGATTTAAAAGTTTAAACTTAAATCGAGTTTTATACGCAGTAATATAAACGCAAAAGAACTTTATATTAATACTTTGATTAAATTTGCTTACATAGGTAATTTTAAAGCATTACTCGGACTGTACGCAACATTTATCAAGGTAAAAAGCAAGCGAAGATTAACACATCTGCTAAAACGATCGTGCATAAATCAGCCAATCGGTGACCGAAATATAAAATGCGAGAAAATGTGTCAAGTAGATAACGAGTTATCGTTTATTAGTAACGTAATAATCCTTGACGAGTATTACACGCGTAAATTGAGAAAACATCATTAAATTCTGAAACGGCTTTGCAATCACAGAGTCCTAGTCACACAAGAGTCGAAAAGGAATTGAGCGTAGGCGTGAGCCCGATGCCTTTATAGGAATACGAGGATCAACGTGGAAACTTAATTATTCCAACTATCAGCGGTGTATGTGTGTGGTACCGTCGAGTGTTTCATCTATTAGAAAATAACGTTGACCTCATCTCTTCCGCTGGAACTCGAAAAATTTCTCGGCCTCTTTAAGGTACGACGTCGGTCTCGTAATCGATCCAACACATGATCAACGATCGCCGATCTGGACGTGAGGTTGAGCCAATTAATATTATCGATCTATCGTAGGTATTAGTATATAAAAAAAAGGAGTTAAAAAAAAGATTAAAAATGAGAGAACTAGGGTAACTCGTGTCATTTAAATCCGAGTAGGTGTAACCTTACAAAACTGACAGTACTTAATCCTCGCTGAATCATTAGAAACGTATTATGAACCCGTGGCATTAAGTCGATTAGCATAAATTTTCATCGAGAACGCGAGCAAATTTGCCATGTAAATAACTGATCGCATTCTTCATTAAACGAGAACGCCGTATACGGCGATAGAAAGCCAGTATATTTTTACGGTCCACCGGCACGAATTAGTAAGATCCTCCCGTCTGTTTCCTTATGGCATCAAGCGAATTAGCGCCCGATTAGTGAGCGCCCCTTGGGAGCCGAAAAAATTCTCACGGTCTTCGAGTGTATCGAGAGGAGTCGGTGTGAGAAAGTAAAGAAAGAAACGTTCAAGGTACACTACACGATACGTAGACAATTCTTACACATTTTTAAAAAAGGAGAGAGAGAAAAAGAAACTTGTTAACGAAAGATTCACAAAAAAAAAAAAAAAAAAAAAAAAAGAGCGGTACCTGCATTATCCGCGACTATTCACTGCGTTTCAAGCGTTTTGTGACAACTATAACGTACTCCCCTTCTGACATATTTCAAATTTTAATGCCAAAGCGTCTATACGACCGATTACTTACATTTTCTATTTTGCAAGAAATTAACCAACTTGACAAATAGGCAAGCGACTCGACCGATCCTCCGTGCGCAAGTTTCTTTTTACTAACGCGGTGTGCAACGTGGGACGTTCAGAGCCGCCAGGTCCTGTTCTCAGTCTCCTCGGGGCGTACAAAAAATCTAGAAGTATTCGTGGCTACTTGTCAACGCCTCTACCACGATATCCAATGGCTCTTAAAGTCACATATTTTAGAATTCGTTTCGAGAAAAAAAGTCCAAGTTTAAGCAAAATTGCGCGAGAAATCGCTAGGGGCCGTTAGACCGTCTGTTAACGTCTCGCATTGCGCGGCCAGGGTTAATAGCGTGCAGGCAAAAAAAAATTTTTAAAAAAAAAAAAAAAAAAAAAAAAAAAAAAAAAATAAAAGAGCGGTACCTGCATTATCCGCGACTATTCACTGCGTTTCAAGCGTTTTGTGACAACTATAACGTACTCCCCTTCTGACATATTTCAAATTTTAATGCCAAAGCGTCTATACGACCGATTACTTACATTTTCTATTTTGCAAGAAATTAACCAACTTGACAAATAGGCAAGCGACTCGACCGATCCTCCGTGCGCAAGTTTCTTTTTACTAACGCGGTGTGCAACGTGGGACGTTCAGAGCCGCCAGGTCCTGTTCTCAGTCTCCTCGGGGCGTACAAAAAATCTAGAAGTATTCGTGGCTACTTGTCAACGCCTCTACCACGATATCCAATGGCTCTTAAAGTCACATATTTTAGAATTCGTTTCGAGAAAAAAAGTCCAAGTTTAAGCAAAATTGCGCGAGAAATCGCTAGGGGCCGTTAGACCGTCTGTTAACGTCTCGCATTGCGCGGCCAGGGTTAATAGCGTGCAGGCTTTTCGGAATCTCCTGCAACGCTGTCGTTTCCATTTCGTCGAAAGCTCGAACATTACGTAACACCGTACGGAGAATAGAAGGT